GACCATATGACAGCTTAAAATGTTATCTGATCGCATGAAAAAAATATACAAGACAAACTAAAAAATGTTGTCAATGAAATAAAATAATTATTTATTTCAAATAAAATGACGTTTTTTAAGAATTAAAAATAATCTGATTTTGGACAATTTACCCCGCGTTACTTTGTGCCCCGCGCTCCCCTAAATCACCTTTTGAAAGTAATTTGACACTTCAAATGAAGATTTATCTATTACATTGTTATGCCAGTAGGTGGCGAAAAGGGGCTGTTAAAATGTATTTGTCTTTTAACCATACAAGAGATTCGTTCAAGAATGCTGATCCATCCAGTAATGAAACAAGTACAGCTTGAGTGAGCCATTTAATCATTAATTCATAAATTACATGTGATTTTGTTTAGTTGTCTAATGTTTTTTCTTCAGAATCATGAGAGAACCACAACTTCCATTGGGGGAAAAAAAAAATACAAAAAAAAATGTATCCAGAATCATGCAGTTCTATTTTGCACACAAACAGCTCTTAAAGAGTCCAGTTTTTATGTATCCTGTTGATTTTCAATGGTAGTCAATGTTCATGGTATTCAGCTCCAATAAATGGTTTGCAAAAAAGAGACACAGGATAAATGTTTGATATCATTATTTAATCACATTGGAATCGAAACTGGGAATCGAAACGAATCGGAATCGATAAGCAGAATCGGAATCGGAATTGATAAAATTCAAACAATACCCAACCCTAATTACAAGTGATCAGTACGACTCTATTTATATTGCCAAGATTGGGTACTCCAGACCATACTTCGGCATGATGAAAATGATGAAATGAGAAAAACCACCTCAATTTAAACAAGCAGGTTTCAAATATGCTGCAACTGCATATCCAAAATCAAATGCAACCGAAGAGACATTTACATGTATATGATGTACATGATATAATTTTCAGAATTCCCTTGCCTTTCAAAGCTAATTCTTTAGTTCTGAAATGCGGTTAATATTTTTCCAGACTGATTCTGATGAATCCACAGCACTTTCCAAAACTTCTGAAGAAGGGGAAGATTGCAATGTTCAGCACATTATGCCAGACCACCTTTATCCAGTGCAAGTTTATGACCAAGAGCTGCACACTGGGAACTATCAGCCTAAATAAGGAGATAAGGCAGATAAGTCTTCATTAGCTTTCTGGTTTTCTTTTAGTCTTCAATCCAGTTTTGACACAGCTGAATACATTTTCTTGGCTGTGCTTTGGTGTCAGATAAGCCTTTGTGGCAAATATAATGATTTACTTGACAAACCATACAATTTTGAGTGCACTTGGCAATTACTTCTCCTGGAAAAATCACATCATAGGTGATGTTCCACAAGGCTCTTAAAACCCAGACCCACATGTTTTAAATTAAAATTAACAGACAATGTACCAGCTTTGTCTATGTTAAACGACAGAGGGAGGTATAGCAGTCACCTGAAATGATCTGTCACTTGTGTAAGTGTGTTAATGGCCTTAAACTTTTTAAACAAAACAGTACCTAGTGTTAGAACACATTCAAAAGGGGAAAAACATCATGCACCCTGAAAGCTGTTATAGATGAGGTTTAATTTTTGACAGGCTTAAAAGACAAGGGCGGAAATGTTACTATAGTAACTATTGATTAAAATACTGTGTTTATCTGTGTTATTTTCTTTTGCTTATATGTGCACAGGCAATACTTGACAATGAGGTTTTACATTAACATGAGCCCATGAACTATCACAAATATTTTTCACAGTATTAAGGTTTATTTATTTACATAAAAATATGTTAACACTTTCAATAATAATATTAATAATAATACATTTTAATTTTAAAAAATTACATGGAGAAATAAGGATTAAATAAGGTTAATAAATACTGTATTGTTTACTGCGAGTTCACGTTAACTATTGTGTTTACAACCTACTACTCTTAACAAAACGTTAATGCAATATAATGGAATATATAATGGTATAACTAGTTTTATAACTGATTTTGTCACATTGTGGCTTTATTGGGATTTACTGTTCACTCACACGTGACTCACCAAATATGTAGACAGCTGAGGACAGCAAAGAGAAGGCCTGCAGTCAGAGCCACGGGCACCGCGAGCAGCAGGGAAACGATGCGGTAAAACCAGAGTCGAGACACTTCAAACAGAGCATGACTCCACAGCCACACCTTATCAAAGCTTCTCACTGAAGCAGGCTCCGCTAGCACATCCTCAAAGGTCACCTGAGTAGACACATCATCAGAAAAGCTATTTTTAGGCCGCCATAGCTTTGGACCTTTTACTCGTCCTACCAACTTGTTGATAACGGATTACTCTGAGTGAATTAAAATCGGTGTCTTTGTCTTTACAAGACCTGCAATACCGTTGTTTAACATAAGAGGGCATTGTAGCATTACTAACGTTGTAGCGCCCACTATTCGTTGTACCGTCGATTCAGATGTAAGACTGTAACAGCAACTCACCACAGGCTGATTTAAGAAACAGCAATACGGAAAAACATTTAGGTAAGGGTCAAGTATGTAATTACGATAGATTTTAATTGAAAAATTAAAGTTGTCCCATTTATACTGGGGCAAGTTGACATGTTTTTGTAGTCTATATTGAAGTTTTATTCAAATGGCATTGTTCAATAGCTTTCAGTCAAGAATTCATACTGCATACAGTGCAAACAGGTACAAACTGAATGTTCAAAAACCCCACCAATGTGTAATGGTGACAAAATGTGACAGACACACACACACATGTTGTGTTTCCATGTTTTATAGGGACATTCCATAGGCGTAATGGTTTTTATACTGTACAAACTGTATGTGCTATTGCCCTACACCAACCCTACCCCTAAACCTACCCCTTACAGGAAACTTTGTGCATTTTTACTTTCTCAAAAAAGCTAATTCTGTATGATTTATAAGCTTGTTTCCTCATGGGGACCTCAAAAATGTCCCCACAAGGTCAAAATTTACTAGTATTACTATCCTTGTGGGTACATTTGGTCCCCATAACGTGATAAATACCAGGTACACACACACACATAAATTCAGCACATGGCTGAGGTTAGTATTCTGTCTAAACAGAGAAAAAAAAGTCTAAATGGGACCACCATCAGTCTGGAGAAGCCTCTCTTTTAGTACATATATAAATATCTGTAAGCCTGAAAAGAGCAGCAAGACATTAGTCTGCACTGTGTTGATTGTATGACTCGCCTTAAGACACTTGTTGATTCCATTTGGGTCCCTGTCCTTGATGAGAGCCTTTGTGTTACTGTGAGGAGCCAATGAATCCTGTCCTTTTGTTTGTGCTTCTGTAACACCAGGAGCCGGTAGCCAGTGCAAGGAGATAAAGAGAGGTGTAACATGGGCTCTTTTGGGCTCGTTGAAGACCAGTCGTACCGCTGCATTCTGAATCATTTGTAGAGGTTTGATTGTGCTTTTGTGCAAATTTGTGCAAAGATTGTGCAAATTAATCATTTGGATTAATTTCACGCTGATCCAAGAGTGAAGACACCTCCTCCTCCTCCTCCTCATTTATCTCCATGTCTATTGAGATTTCCTTCAGAGGTGCTCCCTGGTCCATTGTGTGCAGTAGCATGAGTGTGTGTTTGTGTGATTGTTTTAAAGGCTTCCTGTGGACATACTGAGAACAAGATTGCAAAGCATCTTCCCAATAAGAGATGAAATCACTTACACCAAGATGGGACATAACAGAAATATTTGTGCAGCCTCATCACAGTCTGATTTACTAGATTTAGCATGTGGCAGAGGTTAGTTAATTGACTTCGGAAGAAATGGTGGAATGGCTGAGTAAGGAGAGTTGGATGGGTAAATATTTTCCATTGAATGAGTATGTTGACTTCGTTTGTATTGTACAATGGCTCTGGAAAAGTGTTTGAACACTGTAATAAAATATGTAGTCACATGTAATAAAATATATGAATTTCATTGCATGGATAAAATATTTTCTATACATAAATGTAATCAATTTCTAATAAATGTGTTTAAGTAAATAATGTTCAACTTGGTATTTTTTATCTAAGGCAATGAAATTCATACATGTCTAAGTGTGGAATAAAGGAATAGTTCACCCCAAAATGAAAATTTGCTAAATGAATTAGTCAGGCTATCCAAGATGTAGATGAGTTTATTTTGTCATCAGAACAGATTTGGAGAAATTTGGCATTACATCACTTGCTCACTAATGGATGCCATCAGAATGGGAATTCAAACAACTGATAAAAACATCACAATAATCCAGACAACTCCAGTCCATCACTTAATGTCTTGTGAAGTGAAAAGCTGCATGTTTATGAGAAACAAATCCAGGTGTTTTAACTTTAGGCCATCACTTCTGGACAAAATATGTATCCACAATTCATAATAATGCTTCCTCCAATGAAAAATCCATTCCCTGTTGTCCTCTCACATTAAAATCCACCGACATATTTCTCTCCAGATTCAAAGATGTCTTTAATGATGGAACCGCTTCTTTCAAATGGAAGTAGGCGGGTGCTGAGCCTGTGGCTGTTCTATATGCAAGCATCAATGTCTTGAACTTGATTCGAGCCGCGACCGGTAGCCAGTGCAAGGAGATAAAGAGAGGTGTAACATGGGCTCTTTTGGGCTCGTTGAAGACCAGTCGTACCGCTGCATTCTGAATCATTTGTAGAGGTTTGATTGTGCTTTTGTGCAAATTTGTGCAAAGATTGTGCAAATTAATCATTTGGATTAATTTCACGCTGATCCAAGAGTGAAGACACCTCCTCCTCCTCCTCCTCATTTATCTCCATGTCTATTGAGATTTCCTTCAGAGGTGCTCCCTGGTCCATTGTGTGCAGTAGCATGAGTGTGTGTTTGTGTGATTGTTTTAAAGGCTTCCTGTGGACATACTGAGAACAAGATTGCAAAGCATCTTCCCAATAAGAGATGAAATCACTTACACCAAGATGGGACATAACAGAAATATTTGTGCAGCCTCATCACAGTCTGATTTACTAGATTTAGCATGTGGCAGAGGTTAGTTAATTGACTTCGGAAGAAATGGTGGAATGGCTGAGTAAGGAGAGTTGGATGGGTAAATATTTTCCATTGAATGAGTATGTTGACTTCGTTTGTATTGTACAATGGCTCTGGAAAAGTGTTTGAACACTGTAATAAAATATGTAGTCACATGTAATAAAATATATGAATTTCATTGCATGGATAAAATATTTTCTATACATAAATGTAATCAATTTCTAATAAATGTGTTTAAGTAAATAATGTTCAACTTGGTATTTTTTATCTAAGGCAATGAAATTCATACATGTCTAAGTGTGGAATAAAGGAATAGTTCACCCCAAAATGAAAATTTGCTAAATGAATTAGTCAGGCTATCCAAGATGTAGATGAGTTTATTTTGTCATCAGAACAGATTTGGAGAAATTTGGCATTACATCACTTGCTCACTAATGGATGCCATCAGAATGGGAATTCAAACAACTGATAAAAACATCACAATAATCCAGACAACTCCAGTCCATCACTTAATGTCTTGTGAAGTGAAAAGCTGCATGTTTATGAGAAACAAATCCAGGTGTTTTAACTTTAGGCCATCACTTCTGGACAAAATATGTATCCACAATTCATAATAATGCTTCCTCCAATGAAAAATCCATTCCCTGTTGTCCTCTCACATTAAAATCCACCGACATATTTCTTTAGAACTGTTTTCACTTGTAAACAGTGCTTGATCTGTGCATATTTCTCTCCTGATTCAGATGAGATAACTTTTTTTTTTTTACTTGAGAAAGCAATATTATGTACAGAGGACTTGTATTTTAGCCAAAAACAATGGTTTAAAGTTAAAAATGGCTTGATGAATTTGTTTATTATAACCATGCAGCTGGAGTCATGTGGATTTCTTGTGGATTACACATCACATTACTGTGATGTTTTATCAGCTATTTTGACTCGTTCTGATGGCACTCAATCACTGCAGAGGATCCACTGGGGAGCAAGTGATGTAATGCTAAAAGTGATGTAATGCTAAAATGTTTCAAATCTGAGTAAATTTTCATTTCTGGATGAATTATTCCTTTAAGTGTTTAAATACTTTTTGTGGCCACTGTATGTTGATTCCTGTGGCATTGACTGGAGACAGATTAACAGTGTGACACCTAAAGCAAATAAAGGGAGGTGCATATAGAAGAAAAGTGTGAAGGAGAGGGGAAATGAAAGGTCACTGCCTACAAAATAAGGAGTGTGGTGTCCTTGTTGTTCTGGGCCTGGGAGTGAAGGACGCATCTATGTTGAGGAGTAAAGGTCAGTCCACTGGAGGAACCTCATCCTCATCCTTATTGTGAAAGCAGCCTCTGTGGATTTTAGGAACATCTGCATTTTCCAACTTTTAAAGCCATTAAGAGATCATCTTCCAGAGCCTCCTATTAATAACCACTGTCAGCCTTGACTGTCTGCGAGAGGACATTTTTTCATCTGAGAGCTGGAACATTGTTAATCTCCTGACTGTCCGTCCAGAGAATCATATGTGCTAGGATAGAAGATGATGAATTTACTTCCAAAAAATCCTGAATTCTATGATACTTATCAATATTATGTACCTTGTCTCAGAAATTCATTTTTTCTAATACAGAGACACTCTTCAGATAATCACACTGATTAGGTTCAAAATGTTTGTGTTACAAGACTAATTCCCCATACGGCTCAGCCTGAAAACATCTGGCTTCTGAAAATGAAGGATTCAAGTCTATTCTGCCATTGATGCAGGCTGTGTATGATTCACAATTGAATTTAGAATGCCTTTTGAATGCTAAATAAATTAATGAATTCAAAATGACATAGCAGAATTGCAGAATTATACTTTGAATTTGTACTTATATTACTCATTTTTATTTTATCTTAAAAGAACATTTCATTTCCTAGAATGCGTGATGTTTAGATCACATGATGGGTTATGATCTTACCATGGAGAAAAAAAGACTGGTATGACTTGATTCTTCATCTCTTGTGAGTGCACATTACTTTTTTTAATGTGGGGAAAAACCTTCATCTTTTCACCTCTAAAAAGAACACTTAAGTGGCTGTTCTTGCACATTTTGTTGTGTAAACCAGTATTCTTCCTGTTATTCCAATTGAAATTCAAATTGAACTATTACATTAAATTTCCAACTTTGAAAGGATTAAAAGCCAATTGTTAAATTCCGAATTTTCCTCAATGCTGCTTCATAGTGTTTGACTTTAAATATTTTAGATGCTTCTTTGTGAAGCCTATGCATCCATAGTAAATAGATCAATTACAATTTGTCTGCTCTATCAGCAATTTAATAAAAGTTTAGCACTATAAGCACTCTCTGCTGTTCATATTTTCATTAATACAGTGAAAAACATAGAACACAACAGACAGATCATGTGGATTCCCTTGGTGCATTGGTGTCAAAAAGGCAATCACATTGAGATCATGGCATCAAAACCCTCTTTTGCCACTAAATTGATGTAATAAACTCCCATCCCACTAGCTTAAGTGGATTTCAACAGCAGGATTCGGAGTGCTGTGTTCTGACATTCACACCTGCCCCTCCAGATGTTGCTGCAATTATGAATCATTCCATTCCAGATTTGCCCACCCAAAACCTCGTTTGAACCAACAGCTTCAAACAAAATTGCATCCAAACTGCTCAGTTGTTAGGTGGCGCATGCAGGTATCATATCCTCTGTCCTCATTGCATACAAAAGAACTAAAAACATAATAAACAACTGGAAATAATCAAATAAATATTAATTTTGACAGCTTTTGAGTGTTTAAAAACATGGCCGACCCAGGCACAATGAGGTAATAAGGGGAGTTTGATTATTGATTATTCCTAAACACCAAGAGAGCTAACAATAAGAGTTAAGTCTGCTGAAACTTCTGCTCTTCCTAGCTTGGTGTAGCACCTGAAACTCTGCATATTCTTTCATAAGATCCCATTGTTAAAGGAACACGCCACTATTTTTGAAAATAGGCTCATTTTCCAACTCCCCTAGAGTTAAACGGTTGAGTTTTACCGTTTTCGAATCCATTCAGCCGATCTCCAGGTCTAGCGGTAGCACTTTTAGCTGCAGCTTAGCATAGATCATTGAATCTGATTGGACTGTTAGCATCTCGCTCAAAAATAACCAAAGAGTTTCGATATTTTTCCTGTTACCTAGCTGGGGACTATTTTCAGGCGCTGTGTAATATCATTGCGCCTGCTGCACCCATGGTACGGCAGCAAAGTTCCTTGATTATTACGCTGGAATGAGAGTATAGTTCCTAGCCATATAGGCCTAGAAAATCGCAACTTTTCATTTTCCGTCGGTCTTAGTGCACGATGTAACTACAGAAGGGTCAAGTTTTAAATAGGAAAAATATCGAAATTCTTTGGTCATTTTTGAGCGAGATGCTAACGGTCTAATCAGATTCAATGATCTATGCTAAAAGCTGCAGCTAAAAGTGCTACCGCCAGACCCAGAGATCGGCTGAATGGATTCGAAAACGGTAAAACTCAACTGTTTAACTCTAGTGGAGTTGGAAAATGAGCCTATTTTCAAAAATAGTGGCGTGTTCTTTTAAAAGCAACTGACGTTTATATTAAAAATGTCCCTAGCATTTATATAATAGTCTATTTAATTATACTAGTATATTTATAATAGATCAAAACATATTGTCACTTTGATGTTTTATGTCATTGAAATAATAACATACAGTAAAAATCCTTAAAATCCAAAAATTTCATAGGACACCGCTCATTTCATATGCTACATTTACTTGGAGATTTTAAAGGCATAAAATGGTACATTTAATTCTAAAGGTCAGAAAGAGGGTAGAATGGTCAATTTTGACCATTTTTTGGTGCAAAACACGTTACAAACAACATAAGTGGGAAAAAGGGGGCAAAATAATACATTAATTAATTTGCCAAAAATTAGTGATATGACCCTTTCACATTTTTGGTGTTATTCAGATTACAATTTTATTAAAGCATTTGGTCGTCTGTAACCCACACAATGTTTACAGCAGGTCTTCATCGCTTTATTATTTTGTCCATAGTTCAGGGGGTGGAGTTTGTTGCAGTTCATCTGACCATGATTTCCCCCCTCTTTAATCAATTTCCTTTAATCTTCACCTCAACATGTCTAAATCCTTTCAGGTTCTATTTTTGCCTGGCCTTGTTTTGATCATGACAGGGACACTCAAGTTTATGAATCCCTAATCAAGCCCCACATGTACCTACCTCTCACTCTCTCACTCTCACTCTCTCTCTGCCCCTCCCCCTCAGTTTCTGACTCTCTATCTCTCCTCATGCATGGCTCGTGGTTTCATTGTTTGATGTGACAGATCAGGTCACTCTCTATTGAATCACTGATGAGAAAGACCTGTTTTGAACCACAAACTAATCCGCAGCAAGAATACATCATGCTAGCTTTAGAGAATATGGCTTCATTCAGTCTATTCCTTCACATACAGCGGTACTTGCACTGACTTGGATCTTCATAATGACTTCAAAAGGCATTGAGCTCTCTGATTTCATGCCTGAATCTGCCAAAAATATGTTAATGCCATATTTTACCCTAAAATAAAAAATAAATAAATATTTTGCTTAAAGAAAGTGAAGACATTTTTTTTTTAATTTTGACAGTATCATGATTATGCACATTTTCCTATCCGAATCTCATTACAATAATGTGAGAAAATAATTCTAACAATATTAACATTGTAAAGTTTTTAAAATCATTGTAGTATTTGTTGTGCTGGCTGTAATTTATACTGAAGTAGATAAAAAAATGTGTACTGCACTGTAATGGCAATGAGAATCACTACTGAGAATAAAACATAAATATATATATTTATTTTTTTTGCTTATTTATAGGGGTGAAATGTGACCTGAAGCACTTTTATTTGTATACGCAGTTCCTTCACACCCCTGTCATTTACACACACCAGCAAACAGACCTGTTATGTTTACTAAACTAAAGCATTGAATATACTGTACAGCCCAAGTTACATAATTAAAACAAATTCAACATCTAGTCTGCAATATGAACCGGTAAAAAGGTCATTGTTCCTGTTTGCTAAAACAAGCAAGCTGGCTCCTGATTTTTTCCCTCTGTTTGTTAAAGTTGTACACAAAAAGGCAAAAGACCATAAAATTACAGCACGTTATCTCATTCTGCACACTTGCATTGCATGGTAATGATTTCTAGTACACTGCTCTCAAAGGTTACATTAACAGTCTACATCTCAAACTATAGGTAATATCTTCCTATACATAATAGTCATATAAAACAGGTATTACCATATAGTGCAGCTTATAAAAATAGCTAGCCTGAAACCCTTTATTTCAGCCAATCTGCTAGGACGATACTCAAAGGCGCCCTGTTGCTATGCAAGTCTCTGTCTCATCACATTTCCATGGTTACAGGGCAACATGGAATTAGTAACGAACATCAGAGCTCCCTCAGATACACGAAGAAGGTTATTTTCATCAAACCAAACTGAATTAGGCCTGGTAATGTAACTTGTGGAGCGAGAAACTTCCTATAAAGTGAGCCATTAAAGTACATTTCAAATGCTAGAAATATGGTTTTATTATTTTCACCAAAATAATATATATAATATTTTTTATAATTTATATTTGCGTCATGATAGTATCAATACAGGCACCATTATGAGTCAAGACTTAATAGTAATTATTGAGTATGAGTGTTGATATTATGAAACGAATGAATAATGACTGAGAGTAATTCTCAGTTAACTAAACAATTTATCAGATATAAATGAATATGCAACAAAAGTTGTGAAATTTGATATTTAACCTTATCATAAATACTTATTGTTGCCACTGATCTATGGGGACCATAACAACAAATTATGGATACATAGATTACACTGGTCCAAAGAGCATTTAGATCTGATTTTGCATGGATTTAACATTGAATGAATGCCCTTCTTATTAAAAACAAAACTTCATAAGGCTTGATTTGGCTAGTGGCATCTGAGCCGTTACTGACATGTTTTCCTAGTCATTCCTCAGGAATCTGGCCAGGTAACCTGGCACCCTGGTCCACAGAATTCCTCGGACTGGAATTGCCACAATTGGGCCTGGTGGTCTCAGCTGTGCTGCTGGTCCTCTGCAGAAACTGAAGAAAGTTTTCCTGGATGGAACCTTCGTGACTGGAGGCTCGAAGTTCAACGGGTCTACGGGCACAACATTTTCTCAGTTTTATCAGTTCCTCACGGATCTGTCGGTTTAGAAGACCATAGAAGAATGGATTCACAGCAAACGAGGAGTATGCTAGCCATGTGACGGCTTCTTCGATGTCCCCTGGGCTTTGAAGTGGAGTGGTGATGGACATGTGAAGGTGGAAACTGAAGTACGGGAGCCAGCAGATAAGAAACTGGCCTACAATGACAACCAGGGTGATAGCAGCCTTTCCTCCCCCAAAAACTCGCTCAGGAGACAATCTCTGGGGGAGGCTGCGAGTGGTGGTGATGATAGTGGTCTGACTGTTAATGGAATCCGAGCGACGCTTAGGCTGGTTGGCTGTCCAGGTGGGCATCGGTGCGTGCTGACGGGCTGCCGTTCGTGCGACCTTGTATACATTGCAATATACGGCAAAAATCACAACAGAGGGAACCAAGAAGCAAAGCACGCTGAAGAGAATAGCAAAAACCTTCCTGAGACGGCTGTGGCTCCAGTGTAAAGAGCAGTGGGCCGCTGCAATGGAGCTCTGATTTCCATACGCTGGCCAACCAAGAAGCGTAACCAATGCCAGCAGGATGGATTTGACCCAAATGAAGACCATAACACCAAGCGCCAGGTTTAGAGTCATCTTTACCTCATATCGCATAGGATGGACAATGTAGTAATAGCGTTCAATACTGATCGCTGTCACAGTAAGAATAGAGGCACAGATGAGAAACACATTTAGAAAGATGTATACTTGGCACTCCAGAACAGTAAATGCTACAGTGCTGAAGAACGGAGAACTAGATACTATCCCGAGAGGCATCAGCAATATAGCACAAAGCAGGTCAACTGCACAAAGATGACACACAAACACATATTTTTTCATGTGAGGAGCTCGGGCAATGGCCACCATGACTCCGCTGTTGCCCAGTAGGGCTGCCAGGTTAAGGGTCACCATGCAAAACAGCCCAACAAGATCCTTAATCTGGGATTCTGAGTGGATGACCTCCTCCATGCTGGGAGGGGTAGGCTTGCTTGTGCTCCGCTGGCCGGCCGTGTCATTTGGAGTTGTGTGATTGGTCAGGAAACCCAGCATCAGACCAGGCATGGCTTTCTCCATGCTTCACGGGTTTGAGATGGAACCAAGCTTCTCCATGCTTAAATGTTGTTCTCTCTTCTGTGTGTCAAGCATTTGTGTTGAGACCATCTCTAAGAAGAAATGAAAAGATCTATTAAAACTGTATTTCATGTGATGTCATATGTCACACCTCCAATTTAAAGTATCTATGTATCTATCTATAGATATAATTACATTAATTCATTTAACATGCGCATTTATACATACATATATATATATATATATATATATATATATACATACAACCAAAGTGTATCACGATCCCTTAAAAGTATTATCATCCAGGAAAGCCCCGGCTCCAAGGAGCGAAGTTCATACAGGTGTCCCTATGCTGCCCTTTCCATCTAACAAAATCCAGGTGAAGTAGAAACGATATGGTCCCACCTGCTCTTCCTGTTTCCAGTGGTGGTGATCAGTATTCACACCACTCAGGCCGGTGTCCGTCAGGATGCTCTTCCACACTGTGTCCGGTGCTGTGAAGGGCTGTGACTGTCACACATTGTGTCTCTGTGATTTTTTTTCTTCCTCTTTCAAACAGACACATACTCTGTCCTCCAGAGAGGCAGCCATCCCCTGGGTCCTACTGCACACCATTAAACAAGAAGATATTTTAATGGTCCATTGTAGCTTGACCAAACCATTCCTTCATTCATTCATTTAGCACTTGTGAGGATGATGCATGCTCTTAGTTAGAATGACATTTTTCAAATATATTGGCATTCACACAAAAACAAATGCATCAACATATTATTTATTGTTTTGTCATGGAACCTAATTATTACCTAATTAATTTGTTAATAATTTTTTATTCATTCATTCATTTAGTGAATTTTGTAACCCTACGTGTATGCTATATCTTATAGAAGATATCCTGGATCATTCAAAAAATCATTAAAAAAAAAAATCAATGTTTGGATTTATTTATTTATCTACGTTCTTACAGAAAGAAAGACCATATTTTGTAATAGTCATTGGTATTTAGTTGATTTTTCAGTTAGTTTATTATACATGGTCAGTTTCAGCAAATTTTCAAAGCAGAGAGAAGACATTGATTCCTCTCTGCGGCTGCTTGTTATTCCATATGTTGGGGAGACAATCTGCCCCAAAAACACATTAATGTAAAAACCAAGTAGGTTGGAAATGTGTATATTTATACAATATGAAGTAAACAGAATGTAAACACAAATAGTTTTCTAAATTCTGCAACATAGTTTACAAATGTTTGGTTCATGTATGCTTACTAGAAATTGAAATCTCTATGTCAAAATGTTAAAAAGTGCATTTGGATTAAAAGGTTATTCAATATGCAGGCATGTCTATAAAGCAGTATAATGCTGCATAATTCTATATGTTGTATTAAGTAGGCATATGTGATGAATGTGAGCTAAGGCCATCATTGTAGTGCTGTCCACTTCATCTTAATATACTGAGTGATTATAAATGATCATATAAAGTCTAGTAAAGGATTCATTCATATAACAAAAATCTAACTAAAACCATTGTAAACCGTTTTACTGATTGCATTGATACAGAGCTGTGGATCTCATGGAATAGAATCATAGATAGATGTATAAAAATGTAGTTTGAAAAGTGACATCTACTGGTCATGAGGAGAACACAACAGTGCAAGTACATAATTATTTATATAATATAATTATTTATGTTCAGATTAACCCACATTAACATTTACAATACAACTTCAAACAACTCCAAAGCTCACCATAACATATCAGAAAAAACAAAAAAACAACGGACATATATCTATTGTCTTTGTAGTGCAATATAATTGTATAAAGAGATTTAAACAAATGTTTGATAAAGCCAAACATCTGACTAAACAAAAATGTCTATAAAGGGCTATATTAGCATTATACATCCTTCATAACTCGTGCTTGTCAGCAATGTTTGAGCAGCTTGCATGCACATAACTGCATGAATTAGAGTAAATTCAACTTGAATAAGGAACAACTGAAAGAAATATTAATTTTAGAAAAAATATAATTTTAAAGAAATTATGATTAATTATGGCTTTAATTAGACAATTTGGCTTTAATCATACTTTAGAAGTATTTTGTTAAATACTCTTATTCTGTATAAAATAAGAGTATTTAATTTCGGGGGAAAAAATCCAAATAAGCTTTCAAATAAAAATCTTTAATCGCTCTTAATTTTGGCCCTTTTAAATTTTTGTTATTTTTATCAAATTGAACATTGATTCAGCATTTTTTTTTTCTCCAAATGTTTAAAAGTGAACATATACTTTTTTATGACAGTACAGAAGCCTGCAGTTATGTTTCTAATATGAATAACATGTCAGTTACAGAAGAGTAATGATAGGAAGACATTCAAACCTCACTCAGAGAGATTGGCAAAATGAGCAAACATACTGTAAGTTTACAGTACATAATAAAGATGTAATGTAGTGATTAAATATTTATTAGACTTTCCGACTCAATAAATAGAGGTACCGTCAAATTAACATTGCTGAACTGTATTACTACAACACAAAAATCACAATTTAGCATTCAACTTAACAAAATAACAATAGTGTTGTTAATAATAACAATATTATTATTAAATAACAATGATTATAACTAAATATTCAATGCTTTATAAGGGTGAAACCACGTAACAGAAGTGACATTTATAAGTGGCCATATATGTATAACTGTATAGTTCCAGGTTTTCAAATCAGCTCTAGTAACCGAACTTCAATTCCAGGAGGTATCGAATGCGACACTGCCTTTCCTCATAGACGAGGTACTCACTGTTGAAGAAGGAACTTCCCTGGTACTGCTGTTGTTTTATAGCTTTTCCCTGAGGAACTGCCACCTTTTTACCATCAAACTCAATGAAGACATCTTTTGAAGGATCTGAACAAGAAAAGAAAAAATAAAGAGATTTAAGACATTGTCAACGAGCTAATGTTATGCAGAATTTAACATACTGTACATGCATAAAAAGAGAAATGAGGAATGATTGCATCTGGAAAAACCTGGTTCATGGCTTTCGCGTGCAACTACGCTGTCATAGCCAGCGGGAGCCTTCCTTAGGCTGGGATAATCCTGTGTGATGGTGTACTCTTTTCCCAAAGCAACTTCATTTAGAAACATGATGCCAGTGTTGTTGGATGGATGCACTGAAAACACAAAAAAAAAAAAAAAAAAAAAAAT